CTACCAGACACCTCCTGTTCAACATCAACTCACCTCCTGTGAGCAGATACTTCTTTGGTCCAGCCAAATCACACAAACATCAAATTTTTAAGCTGCTATAAGTAGACACCTCTCCTTAGTCTACACACATTTCTTGAGTGTCTGGACACATTTGTGAAGTTCAGTTGTACTGTAGTTTATTTAGAAATTGAAAAAGTTTCTCACTGACTTACAAACTGAAGTTTACATCAACAGTACAAGTTACATTGAAATAAATTTCTAACCAACTGGAATGTTAGCTTCTAACTCTTCTGCTGCTTTTTGCTCCTCTTCTCGAAGGAGTTTGGTCAATCTGTTGAAAAATCAAGTCACACAGAAGTGTTTTTGTTCCCTGAGTAATATAAAATGTGTCTATTTATAATCATTATTTCAATAAACACAACAAATTCATGGAATAGATAAGATTGATTCACTGATGTACTCTGCCATTAAGGTTGCTATTACAGACTTCTGCAGGCATCTGTAGTCAAAATACTGTAAGCCTATGGTTTAAATAAATAAATCTTTAAAAAAGAGCTGCCCAGATAACGAGAATGACTCATACCACTACTAATGAATTGACTAGGCATTGAATTTGGCCACACACACACACACACACACACACGCACGCACACACCAAAAACTATAGATGGAATACACATGGACTTGTTAACGTCAAGATCTTGTCCATCAAGATCCTGAAGTTTCAGCCAATGAGTATTTGACAGTTTCAGTGAAGGTTATTTATCTACCTTGCATTTTCTTCTAACAGGTGTCTTGCTTCCTTTTCCAGAGTTTCAACTCTCTTTTCTTCATCCTTCAGTTTATCCGAGCTGGATGGATTTTCTGAGAGACTGTCAATGTGATGATACAGCACTTTGTGCTGTGATGGCTTTTGTGTGTCTAACAAATATGACATGTAGCTGTCATACTCATCCTGTGAGTAAAAGAAGGAAAAATCTCCCCATAAATAAATCAATATACATGTAATCAGTTGTTATCATTTGTAATAAAATTTCCCCATTTAATGAATGGATTTTCTGAGAGACTGTCAATGTGATGGAACAGCACTTTGTGCTGTGATGGCTTTTGTGTGTCTAACAAATATGAAATGTAGCTGTCATACTCATCCTGTGAGTAAAACAAGAAAAAATCTCCCCATAAATAAATCTCTATACATGTAATCAATTGTTATCATTTGTAATAAAATTTCCCCATTTAATGGGGAAACCTTTGCCTGCAGTACTTATCACAACTTTCATAGGTCTTAAACTATTCTTATTAACACTTAGTCAAGTACTCACTTTAATCTTTTTTAAAAGAGGACCGAATGTCTTGGACTCTTCAATGATCTCAGCAAAACATCTGTTGTATATCTGAAGTCTGTGAAAGTTTGGTCCCCTCTGACTTGCTGATTCCAGGGAAGATAGTTGCTACAATTGGCAAAAAACAATAAGTTACTGGTAACAATCAAAATATTTCTTTCAAGCTTTCATCTCTCCTGTCTACTGGCCTGGAGTAGCAGATTTCTGTTCTAGCCTGTACTTGTATATTCTATCTATCAATAACAATTAACATTTCTAATGTCACTATAGTATTCTCCCCCAAAACAACAGATTGCATTGGCTAAGACTTAAATAACAGCTGTATAGCGAACTGGTCTGCCTTGGTTGGGTAACTCAGGTAAGTCTCAACAAATGCTTGGTGCACATCTTCTGGTTTTGATTTCCCAGGGAGGTTACCAGCTGGAGAACATACATGTTGTTTAATAACTGATTGCTCAAACTCTACTTATGGTAAGGCATTTGCTTAGTATTAACAGGTGGATACATTTTTAAAATCTTTTATAACAAACTGAAAGTAAATAATGATGCCACATAAACAAAATATCACTTAAAAATAGAGCTGTAACCAGAATAAGACATATTGTAAAAGAAGTGAAATGTTCTCCAGTTGAAAAGATTTAAAAACACAAGCTTTTGGCTATCAGTCTATAGCCTTTAACAAATAAAAAATGTTGTTGGGTGAATGGAAATATCACTTATACTATAGATAGTATCTGGCCTGATGACTGGGTCTTGTGCTATATGCATGTAAAAATATTTATGTGTATTATACCAGACCATGAGATTTACATGTAACATTCCTCTAGTATATGTATTTTAACATAATCATACTTTACATTCAGGACGACGAGAGATAGAAAACAAAAAGTTACACAAAATGTTTCAATTGCTACCTTTGGTTTTTGTCATTGGTATCATTATTTCTGGCAGACGCAACTCCTCAACATGTATTTTGTCTTTGGCAAGCTTGCCTGATGTATCTGTACCATCTTTTAAAAGCATTTCTTCAACATCGTCTCCTGAGGCTGGCCTTGATTCTGGTTCTGCCAAATACCAAACAATAATAGAATCAACCAAAAAGTGACAACAGGAATCTGGCTTGTGGAAAAGATGCACTACTGTAACATGTATTGGTAGGTCCTGAAGAAACAGCAGGCTTTTTCTTCTTGTGGTCAAATTTTGAGTATATAGAAGTCTCGTTATCAAGTAAATTATTATCTTGAACTGTTACTTACTGAATTGTGCAATATTTCTCGTGGGCCCCAGACTGAACTCCACAAGACGATCTGCCATGGTCTTGTGCCTGAGTTCTGTTGAGCTGCATTCCCCTCTTCTCACTGGGTGGTCAACAAGTTGGTTTGGCGACTTGAGTCTGTAATTATTATGGAAAATGTAACTCACTACACAGGTCTGTAACAGGATCACAACCCCCCACCCCTTTCTGCTATCCTTATAAATGGCTTTGGATTTCACCAGTTGAACACAAAAAAGAGGTAGGGAAAATTATCTCCAAAAGAGGCAAAAAGTGTAGAAAAAATTTCATGGTTATTACTCAAAATGCAAGTCTTCATTTCCGTTGTCTACTATAGGTGTGAGTCACGTTGTGCTAGTTTGTCTGGAAAGTTATGGGACAAAGAAAGTGTTTAGTCAGTCAGTCAAGAACCCCTGTAATATCCGCGCACCTTCAATATGACCATAATTAAAGGTGTACGGTTGGTTGTATAACTGGTTTCCACTGTATCACTTTATAGTGCTAGGATCAAAGTCTCGATGTAAACAATTTACACTGAGTATTGTACATGTGGCGCGCAAGACAGCTTACGTACCGAATTGGTGGTTTATCTGAAGTCTCCCATCTTGCGTGACGTTCTCCTGGAGGTTTTAAAAGCTTGCTAGAATTAAGATGACCACTTGTATAGGTTTTGATATCCTTTCTGTGAACTTCGTATATAGTTTCAAGCAAATCTTTGAGAGACGAAGGTTTTCGTCTGTCGTCCGCCATGTTTGTTGTTGCTCCGTCACCTTGGAGGACTCGCCCCAGATCCCACACAGACTTGGTTCCTAAGCCAAAATGGCGACTGGAAAGATGCCTCGAAATGCACTTTCATTGAAACAGGTAAAACTATCGAAAATAGTTCACTTCATGGGGAAATATGTTGCCCATATTGTAGCTAATTTATCTGCGGTCCGTCATTTATGATGATCGTGTCTTTTTATCTCGACAGTTCTTTCTCAGAAGACAAGTTTTAAGCCTATACCGAGAAATTTTACGAACCTTGCGAGAAGTTCCTAATGAAGATCACAGAAAAGAACTCGGCGATTGGGCAAGATCGGAGTTTAAGAAAAACAAAATTGAAAAGGACGAGGTAACTTACACAGAAAAGTAACAATAGAAAGTAATAGTTCATGTTTCAGGCGAGGGCTCTCGCCAGGGCTAAGCTAATATACACCGGGCTGCAGACAATCATCGCTGTACATGTTAAAATAGGTATTTAGAATGTACACGTGTCTAATGCCGTTTGAGCTGAAACAGACAAACAAAAAATATCGGTTCCTTGGTGAGGAATAATGTGACTACTACAGGTCATGTCGGAAGCTGCTGATGATGGGATGATAGGAGCTGACTATACTCACATCTGATGTTAAGCAAACCAGATGGGAAAGAGAGGTGGAAGAAAAAAAGAAAGGGCTATTTTCTGTGAAACCATAAAACAACCAGAAAACTTCAAAAGTGGTTGTGCAGGATCAATCCCCAGGGGGCGGGGGGTTATTCCTAGAAAAGTTGGGTGGGGGTGTGCAGCCCACTTCTCAAAACCCTTACCTTATTTACCCTTACCTTCACTTTCACCTTACCTTATTTATGACCAAAATCTGCGATATTCCCTACCCTATTTATGACCTGACCAAATATTCGATACCCTATTTATGAACTAACCATTTAATTAAAACCTTGTTTCAGATCTGCATTGTAATAAGTTCCCTAGTTCAGACCAATGTTAAATTACCGTAAACATAATTTGTGAAGGGCTTTTGTTGATTTGATAATGATGAAAAAGTAGCTTCTTCTTAGAAATATACCCATATCAAGGCTAGAGTGCAAAAACCATACCCTGTTTATGACCAAAATGGCCAAAATAGGCTAAAGTCGATACCCTATTTATGACCAAAATGGCTGAAAAACCATACCATTTGGGGCCCCACATACCTATATAGCTCATGTAAGGGAGTACCCCCCCCCCCCC